GCTATACTGGAGTCGGGTAACTGCAGCTGACGACAGCTAATAGGCTAGAAATACGCGTATCCTGCAGTCCTAACGTTTCCTGGCGATACATTAGATAGAAGTTTGTACAGTTCGGTAGCCAGTTCTCGCAATGCAAGTGCGGGAATTTTATCTGGGCCAGGTGATTTGGCAGGCTTAAGATGAGGTAATGCTGCCCTGACTGTGTCCTGTGAAAACCCTATCTCCCCAGTTTTGGGTCATGCGGAGGAAGGTAGGGGAGAGATAGCTGCTGACAGGTGGGAAGATTGGCAGCAAATCATTAGGTTCACGAGTTTAGACGGATATAAAGAAGTCGGAGGGAAGAGATGACTTCACCTGGTCGTCAGTCTCCAGTGATCCGTCCGCATTTATTAGGGCAGGGATTAACTCCTGAGATCTTTCTATGCTACATGTGTAGCCATATAGAATCTTGGAGTGTGCCGCGGACTTTTTAGTATATAAAGATCGTATTTCTTTTGCAGTATAGTAGATTCACTTTTAAACAAATGTTTCGTTGTTGCTCGTACTCCCGTTACTGTTTATCAGAGCCAGTTAGTCTGTAACATTTTCAAAAGCGATTTATTTTTTAAAAGCGGCCTGCAAGTTCGGGTTTATCCAATTTGGGCTGCCTGTGTTTGTCTTCTGAGGAGACAGTTAAGGCAAACAATCCTTTTCATTTTCGATGTAAAGGGCTTACACGGGCAACAGTTCTGTACTAATTGCTGAGTCACGGTGGTGAATGACAGCCTCTGCAGCTATAAGATTTCTCCAACGACAAGACGCGTTTTCAACCCTCATACATTCTAATCAACAATCCTGTTTCATTGCACTACAACAATCCTATCAACCAACCTCTTTATATTTATGCAAGCAGTTTTTTCTCCTACATTTTTTTAAAGTGGGGGTCCGCTGAACTCTGCCCCCTCCTTTAATGGTAAGAGTTTTTTACTGCTTTTTCCTTAGTTCACCTCCTTAGTTGACTATTATTTTAAAATGCCGATATGTTGGTGGATATTAATTTATCTCGCTGTCATACTAAGAACTCCGCTGCCTATGTGGTTACTCTCAAAGAGCAGCATTTATCCACTTCGTATTTATTTTTCCACACACTAAGTTTACAATGACGAGGCCCTCCACGCCCAAAATGTGGCCTTGATATCAGTCGTCTGTGGATCCATGTCGAATACCTTGCTCCAGTCGAAGTAGATCGCATCGACTGACTAGCCCATTTCCTATGAATACGGACGGAGTTCCATGGATGTTAGCAGGTTAGGGAACCAAAGACGACCAACTGTAGATCCATGCTGCTGCGTGCTTAGAAAGTTATTCCTCTCCACATGTCTCATCAGTTCCGTTTTTGTTACTTTCTTCATAAGTTTGTACCAAACTAGAAAAAAGACAAGCATTAGGCATCTTCCACGTCCAGCAGATATGTAGGGTTTCAGTCGGTCTCGTTGAGTAGTCCTTTCATTCTGGTGTAATCCCCTTTTCATATATTTCCCTTGCTTATTGCTTGGTTGTCATTATTACTGAGAAATTCCACATTAACGGGGTGGACAACAGCAGAGTGAAAAGAGGACGGCATGATCAGTACTCTTATTCAGTGGTCGGGTCTCTGCAACACAGAGGAACTGTCCATGGGAGACTTAAAGGACGGGACCCAGACCATCGACTCAGTTGCACTCACAGAAGCTACTGTTCTGCGAGAACATAAGTCACTTCAAGTCACTTTTATTAAGGGAAGAAGGCTTTCGCCCTTCAGCTCCCTATTCATAACCAAAATAGTACATAATACAAATGTAGGCTTAATATCAGCGATAAGTGTGAGCCAGTTG